CCACCGGCTATCCAGAGCTCCTGGGAATCCACGTCCGCACCCACCAGGGCGTAGCCAGGCGGCACTTGGACCATGGCTTTCAGCTCGCTGCCCACCCGGTCAGCCTGCGGGACACGATGCCAAGCTCAGTGCAAGCCCTGCTCCTCCCTCTCAGCAGCACAGCACTCCCCGTGCCCTAAACTCTGCTCTGAAAGTCAAACCCGGGTTTAATACCCCCCCCCCAGCCACTCCCCCTCCTCAGTGAGATGAAACCTGGAGGGAAGAATGACCCACACCCAGGTCCCGTGGGACACAGCCGCCGTCCCCATCCCTGCTCACCCTCTGCCTCCCCAGGCAGCACCCACCTCCGGACGCCCTTGGTGACCGCGTACATCTGCTGAGCCTTCTCGCGCGCCTGCTGCTGGGTCAGCCGATGGTTGAACTGCATCAGCAGCCGCTCGGCGAAGGGCTGCCCGGCCCCGTAGATGCGCCCATAGTTGAAGATCTTGGCGTGCTCCCGGCTGATGCCCACTGTGGCGGCCGTCTTGCTGTGCAGGTCTGTCGCGTTGCTCTTCTTCCCCTGCAGAGTCATCCAGCCGAAGGCCGTGCAGCCTGCCAGGAGGGGAGCAGGGGTTGGACACCAAACGGGACCAGGCTTTGACCCAGCAAGCCCATTCCCCACGGCGCAGCCCCAGCTCACCATGCATGCCGGCAAAGTGCGCCTCGCCAAGGACAGCGGCTATCCAGAGCTCCTGGGAATCCACGTCTGCACCCACCAGGGCGTAGCCAGGCGGCACTTGGACCATGGCTTTCAGCTCGCTGCCCACCCGGTCAGCCTGCGGGACACGATGCCAAGCTCAGCGCAAGCCCTGCTCCTCCCTCTCAGCGGCACAGCACTCCCCGTGCCCTAAACTCCGCTCTGAAAGTCAAACCTGGGTTTAATGCACAGGCGGGGCATCGCTCACTTGGTTACTCCCCACAGGCTCTTCCAGTATGGAAGAAGGGGAGCTTGGGGAAGGAGAGAAACCAGTGCTTCAGCATTTTCTTCTCCTTTCACCAATTTTGAAGCTCGGTAGCCTCTGCTGACTCCTTCCCCTCTCCCAAAGTCAAAGCACATCAGCAATGGGACAGCCCTAGCACCACCCCTGCCGCCTCCACTCCGTAATCATCCTCCTCGTTATAGTCGGGGTGCCTGGGACAGAGGGGAGGGTGAGCTCCATCCTGCAGGAGCCCTCCCGGAGCGGAGTAGAAGGGATCACGGTCCCGGCTGGGGCCGTTCCTCCCCGTACCTGGTCACCACGCGAGGCAGGTCCCCTTTCTTCAGCCACACCACCATCTGGGAACTGGGGGGACACAAGGCAGGCGAGATGCTGAGCCCCCCGCGTCCGCACGACCTCCCCGGCTGCGACACAGCCTCTGGCCGCCCGCCCACAGGGATATTGCGATTCAACTGAAGGCAGCCGCTCACCTGATCCGCTTGTGAGCATTCCTCCAAAATGAGATCATCTTGTTAATCTCAAGGGCTCTGGTCCCATGGGTGCGACCCACAGCAGCCCGCAGGGTGCCGTCCTCCATTTGGGGCAGGAAATCCTTGGCAAAAGGGCTTCCCACATTGTTCTCGTTCCCATCCTTTAGCAGCAAAAGAGATGCCAAGGCTCAGAGTGCCACAGCTCGGTATCAGTAAAGCTCTGCCCACCCTCCTGCCCCAGCTAGAGATGCATTCCCACCACCCTATCCCATGGGACAAGATCACAGGGGTCCCATGACTGGTGCAGCACAGGGGTGATGGCCCAGGGGACACAGGACCAGGGTTGCTGGGACACAGGGTGGCTGGGCAGGGTGACACAGCCCCTGGGAAGAGCCCCAGGAGCACCCAACTTGCCTTGTGAGGCAGCTTGAAGAACCAGCACCCAGGGATGTTGACATCGTTGTAGGGACCATTGCCATGGTGGTACGAGGGCTGGCTCCTCGCCTCCATCCGCTCGCACAGCTCATTCATCTCCTCCTGCAATCAGCGATGCAAGGTGATGCTGGGAACACCCCTGGGCACAGCAGGGGGGGGAAATAGAGGAAAGAGGGGACGGATCCGCCCCCCCATCCTGCAGGAAACCCCCTTTACCTGTGCCAGGCTCTGGTCCGCTCTGCCCATTTTCTCCTCCATGTCCACCTCCAGCTGGCTCAGCTCCTCCACCTGCGGCACAGAGGGACCGTGGCGGGGAGCCAGGTCAAACACCGCTTCTCCAGTGATTTAACAGTTAGAGGAAAATTCTTACTTCCAGCCCCCGGAGCTGCACACGGGGCCAATTTTCACAGGCGCACGGGAATAAGCCCAGCCCCACATCTCCCTCCCACTGAGGGACCCTCCATCCCTTCCTTCACCTTCTGCCACATGGTGCTGCCATCCATCACCAGCAGCTCCTCCTCCACGGCAGCCTCCAGCCCTGGGGGCTGCTCCTTGCCTTTCTCCCGGCAGTGCTGCCTGTACAGGTACTCGATCACCCTGGCAGGGGAGAGGGCAGGGCTCACTCACCCACAGTGGGGACCGAGGCCCCGGGGCAGCCCCTGGGCAGAATCCCAAGGAGCTCCCACACCCTTCTGTGGGGCAGCCCCATCTCGGCATCCTGCCACATCCCCCTCACCTGTGTGGGCAGGGAGGGCCCTCCACCTCTGAGGGGGCTGCTGGCAAATTGTCCTGCCGCCCCGGCACCAGGTAACCCCAGCCGTGCTTCTCTGAGTAATGGAGGGGGAAGCCGTCCCAGGCCAGGCGCATCAGCTTCGGGGTCACCCTCATCTGCAGGCTGATGAGGCTGGGTCCTGGCACCCACCCTGCCTCATCCAGGCGTGGGCACAGCTTGCGGTACCAGCTGGGGAGCAGCAGGGATGGGTCAGAGAGCGCAGGGCAACCCCTAGGGACACCCAGGGTCCCCAACTCACCCCGGATGGCCTGGCAGATGCTGGAGTCTCTTGGGTTGCAGCGCAACCGTCTCCTTCAGATGCTCCAGGCGGACCTGGCTCACAGGGGCTTTCAGCTCTTCGTCCTCACTGGGGGGGCCAGGGTCTGGTGGGATAAGGAGGACTAGCTGGCAAAGAGCCCTCTGTGCCACCCTGTTGGGGATGGGGACCTCAAGCCACCTCCCCACCACGTGCCCCAGCACGGGGACGCAGGCCGACGATGCTTCACCCTGTCGGCACCAAGGAACCGCGTCCCTTTGTCTGGGTGCTTGTGGGAAGGCATCCCTCGAGCATCCCTCGTCCCCGGGGACCACCCGCACTCACCTTCCTGCCACTCCTGCATGGACTCCTCTGAGCCCACCACCTCTGCAGGGGCTTTGTTGTTCCCATCCTGATCCTTCTTCTTCTTCTTCTTCTTCCCTGGATTCTTCTTCTGCTTAAACTCCTGAGCTGGCAAAGAGCCCTCTGTGCCACCCTGTTGGGGATGGGGACCTCAAGCCACCTCCCCACCACGTGCCCCAGCACGGGGACGCAGGCCGACGATGCTTCACCCTGTCGGCACCAAGGAACCGCGTCCCTTTGTCTGGGTGCTTGTGGGAAGGCATCCCTCGAGCATCCCTCGTCCCCGGGGACCACCCGCACTCACCTTCCTGCCACTCCTGCATGGACTCCTCTGAGCCCACCACCTCTGCAGGGGCTTTGTTGTTCCCATCCTGATCCTTCTTCTTCTTCTTCTTCCCTGGATTCTTCTTCTGCTTAAACTCCTGCGTGTCCCACTCGAGATCCCAGAGCCAGGGGTCATCCCTGTACCTGCCAACACACTGTTGTCACACCACAGCTTTGCTCCCGTCCCCAGCACCCGCCCGCAGCCCCCCATGGACCACCCAGCATCTGGTCTCTGTCCTGCAAGTGGCAGGACCTGCGCCCCCAGCCCACGGGTACCTGTCCTCGTGCAGCAGCTGGCAGGCATCGTTGGCCAGGTTCATCAGGGACTTCTTCATCTCCTTCTGCAGCTCCTCATAGATGCCCTGAGCATCATCCAGGTACCTCTTCCAGTTCCCATTGACCGGAAGGTAGGACACCCCCATCTCCAGCATCCCTGCAAACGTCACAGGGTGGGGGCACCTAGAGCCCGAAGCAGTGAGGAATTAGACGTCTGCTGGAGGGGATTTGCCCTGGAAGCACCAGATACAAACGTGCCTTGCAGTATTGTGTCTTCACCTAGAGTTTCCCAGCCCCACATAGCCCTTGATGCTCCTCCCCTCAACCTGTAAGGCCTCCTAGATCTTCTGCCTGCCCTGCACGTAAATCACTGCTCTAAAAGCAGCCCTGTGCACCAACCCCAAAGCTGTATCACTCTGATCTGCCTCATTAAGTCTGCTTTCCTCCACCAGCCACACTGTGCTGCCATTTATTCCTTCTCATGCATAGAGGGCCAGTCTGAGGTCCCTCCTGAAACGGGGTTCAGGGCCCCCCAGCCTCCTGCTGCCACCCAAAGGAGAGGAGAAGCAACATCCCATCCCCAGAGGGACCACAATCCTCCCCGCTCCCGGCCAAGACCACCGGCCCTCGGCCAACACCGGCTAGAGCTCGGTGGCTCTCACCTCTCCATGAAGAGTGGCAGCTGCTCCTGAAACACCTCGTGGGTGGCCCGGACATCACGGGCACAGTATGACATCAGGTCCTGGGGGCAGAGACAGATGAGAGCAGGCGAAACAGCCACCGCTCTGCCAGCACGGGGCAAGGCACCGGGGCTGTGGGAGGATGGGGGATGTCACAGCCCCCACGCACACCCGAAACCCTCACAAGAGAGTGCAGCAAAATGGAAACTACCCCATCAGCTGCTCCCACCCTGCTCCCACCTCTGGCTCCCGCTGCCCGTTGGGATGTTGGGATCACCGCCTGCACCTGGAAGTGATTCCTGATGTCGGCCATGGTCCCTTTCACAAAGAGCTCTCGTGCCTCCTTCTCCAGCGGCTCCCCCCCGACGTACAGCGCGTGCACGTCCACCAGGTTGTTGATGCTGCTGACGTGCACCCAGTCCCACGAAGTGACCTGCAAACAACGGGGGGCGTCAGACGGTGTGGGACAAGGACCGGCCGCAGCCGACATCAGGAGGGGTAAAGGTTTCCATCGCTCCATTTTAAACCAAGGCCACCTCATCTGGAAGATGAGAGACGGAAGATGGAGAGCTTCACCCAGCAGAGCTGCTCCAACAGCTCCTACTCAGCCAGTACAGAAGCAAACTGTCCCATTACAGGAGCAAATGGTCCCCTGCCACCCACACCACTGCCAGCGGCTCAGCTCTCTTACTCACAGCTGGCCCCTCTGTTTTACTGCGCGTTTTCTTCATGTGCTGCTTGACCTGCTGCAGTCCCTTCCTCTTGCCGTGTTTGGCAGCCATCCAGAGGCTGCGCTGGAAGCCCGTCAGCCCCGAGATGGCCATGTGCATGCTCATGGTGTCCAGGAAACGCATCCGGGAGCCCTGGGACACATCAGGGGAGAGGTGGTTTGGGATGCGCTGGAGGAGAAACGTGCTGCCAAAACATCCCATAGCTGCCACCAAGCACCATCCTGTGTTACAGAGGTGCAAGTCCTCCCTCTGCTCAGGCTGCTTTTGTCAAGGCAAAGCTTTGGCTCCCAGAACCCCTCATCTGAGAGCTGAGAGCATCCTCAGCACAGGCTGTCAGCTGCTCAAAGGCTCCTGCCACATCCCCAGCTGCAACCCTGCAGCCTCCAGCAACCTTATGGGGTGCAAGAACATCTCCCTCTAAAGGGATCCAACCTCAACCCATTCTGCAGGACCAGGCAAGCACAAGTCTTGTGTATCTTTGCAGATATCCGTATCTGTGCAGAACAGCATCTGCCAAAATAACCCTGAAAAGCCAGCACAAACGACTATCCGGGTAACGAACGGCAGCTGCTGGCACGAAGCAACAGCACCATGGATTACCTGGATGAGGTATTGTTCCTTGATGAACGCCCGGTCAAAGGCTACGTTGTGCCCCACCACCACTCTCTCCAGCCAGTCCTGCTTGCCAGCACAGCTGGTGCCTGGTGGGCTCTCCAGGGGAATGAGGTCGGCCAGGGTGAGGTGGCTGGACCAGGAGTACCGCTGCTCCAGCAGCCGCTTGCTGCACCACGAGTACCTGCGGATGACATGTGGCACCCCACAGCCATAAAAAATAAAGTAGGGGCTCCTGAGACCACATGGACCTGCTGTGCCAGAGGTGCTGAGCAGGATCCAACTGTGGGAGGGAGGTGACTGACCCTGGGGAGCACTGTGCTCACCAACCAGGACACACGTCTCACATCCCAGAGCCACGCTTCGGGGCTTTGCTGTGTTTTCCCCACAAGCTGGCAGTGGTTTGCAACAAGAAGCTCCACTCAGAAACATCCCCATCCTTCCCAAAGCTGTCCCCACCACCACCGCAACGCCAAGCATCACCACCAAGCACCACATCTCACCAGGCGTGTGGTGAGACCGCCACGGCCAGCGTCGGGCAGTGGCCATCAGCCACGCACACCTCCACGTCCAACACCACCGCCCGCTCCTCAGGGAAGTCAACGGCTTCCGCTTGCCCATCGGGGCCATAGCGGGTCCAGCAGAGCTGCCATGCCCACTGCGTGGGCTCGGGGGGCAGCTCACACCGCAGCAGCTCGTTGGCCGCCTCCAGGTAGGGCAAACTCTGTTTCTGCGCCAGGAGGCGAAAATGCTCGTCGATGTTGTCCCCGTACATGCGGGGCAGCTGCAGGTCCACGTCAGGCAGCGTGGAGGTCTCCTTGCCCCACAGGTCGTGGCGCTGCAGGTGCTCCACGCTCCTCTGGATCTCCTTTGCTGAGAAGTGTACCTGGGCCCCCCGGAAGATCTGTTCATGGAGGGTCCTGGACAGCATCTGGATGTTGAGGGGGTACCGATCGCTCACGGACCGGTTCCCACGGGGCTGGGGGAACCGTCGGGGCGTGGGTACCGGTTCCGGACCCATCCCGTTCTCAGCTCCCGCTGGGGCACCGGGTAGGGGGGACCGGGTAACGTGACCCCCCC